TTCCTGTACAAAGTTTTATTTTGTGTTCAGTTACATCTGCTGAGTAAAATGATACCCCCATTGTATGTCTTTGGCACTATTTTGTGAAGTTACAGTGCCATATAGGATACCTGTCCTTTTCAGTATTCACAGTAGAATTTTGAGAGATGGATTTAATGAGCCCATGCTTCCATTTGGGGTATTATAGTAGTTTGACTGTTCAGAAAAAACCCCACAAAGGCCTACCATTTGTAAAAGTAGACACTTCAGGGTATTTCATAAGGTGCATATTGTGCCTTAACATGCCCCCATTTTTTCTCCAATATATGCCAAAGTATGTGTAAAATTATTTTGTGCATTTTTTACATACGGATTGCATTTTTGCTGGGCATTTTGTATATTTCATATGTGCCACTAAGTTCTAACCCCCCAAATTATGCTCAGCTAAGTCTTCTGAGTAAAAGGACACCCCCATTGTATGTCTTTGGAACTATTTCGTGAAGCTACAGTGCCATATAGGAGACCTGTCCTTTTCAGTATTCACAGTAGAATTTTGAGAGACGGATTTAATGAGCCTTTGCTTTCATACAGTTCCATATAGGAGACCAAGCCATATCCGTTTTTACCGAACTTTGAATTTTGACGCTGTGCAATTTCCAAGCATCTTCGCAGGTTTAAAATTCAAACTACCCCACAAAGGCCTACCATTTCTTAAAGTAGACACCCAAGGGTATTTCAAAAGGTAAATTTTGAACCTTAGCGTGGGATCATTTTTCCGCTAGCTTGTACCAGGTGTAGCGTTTTTTCTGCCATTTTGACACACAAAGTGAGTTTGCACAGTATATTTTGCAAACCTTATGTGTGCTACCACTGTATAATACTTCATATGTTGCTCAGCTATGTCGGCTGAGTACAGCAATACCCCCGTATGTACCTTTGCCAGGTATATGTGGATGTTGAAGGGGCGCATTTGAGACGCAGCCATTCAGTTTTTTCTAACTTTGAAGTTTTACGCTGTGTCCATGTTCCAATTTGGAGTAGTTTAGATGGTTGGTTATTGAAACTTCCCCACAAACACATACTATTTATTAAAGAATACACCCTGGGGTAATTCAAAAGGCATATTTTGAACCTTGGCGTGGGATCATTTTTTCTCTAGTTTGTTCCAGGTGTAGTGGTAATGAGCGTTTTTAAATGTATTTTTTTACTTTTTTAAACTTTTTTACTTTTTAAAACTAGTTTTTAAACTTTTGTTTTGCTTATTAATTTTTTTTAAACTTTCCTAAACTTTCTTAAATTTTTTTTTACACATTTAACATTTTTCTAAGCTTTTTTTTTACCGTTAACCCCTAACTAGCAGTAAGCAGCACTAACAGTAAATTCCCAATTTTCCCATCCAGCTAGCAAAATATATAATTATAAAATATTTAAATTAGTTAATTAAATAAATTGAACCCCTGAGGGTTAAAAAATAAATAAAACTTAATCGTCAGGGGTTAAAAAAAATTTACATCACAGTATAATACTGTGATCTGTATTTTGATCACTGTAGGCAGTGATCGACTGGCAGGGAAGGGGTTAATTTATATTTGGACTGACTAATGGGGGGTGTTTTTTTTATTTTTTACTTAAACATTATTAAAACTTTTTTTAACTTATTTTTTACCTTTTTAAAGCTTATTTTAAAACTTTTTTTTAACGTTAACCCCTAGTTAGCCTAACACCAAATTCCCCAATTCCCCACTAACCTCCACCCACCCCAACTAGCTAAATTTATAATTTTAAAATACTTAAATGAATTAATAAAGTAAATTTATCCCCAGGGGTTAAAAAAAAAAAATCAGATCATAGTAAAATGTAATGCCTGCCAATTGATCACTGTAGTCAGTGATCAATTGACAGGGAAGGGGTTAATTTTTTATTAAAATGGGTAAAGGGGGGTGGGATTTTAAATTAACTTTATTTTATGATCACGGCGATCTGGGGTTAATTTTACCGTGTGAAGGACGAGGTCCGTCACTAGTCGTTAAGGGTTTACCCTGAGTGACGGACCTCGTTCGTCACTCATCATTAAGGGGTTAAATGACAGAAGGATTTAATACCAATGCAATGGTCAGTAAAGCGGCACTCTCATTATAGTTACTGTCCACCGACATGCTTTCTATAGCTCTCCCAACCCCCAATAGCATTAATGACCTGTGCTACTTATTCCATTCATGTTGTACCAGGCCTGTGGAGTCTTCATTCACAGTGCCACCAGCTTGGCTTTTCCAAGATGGAAGTTGCTAGAAATCTCCTCTCTTGCCCTTCCTAGAACCTGCAATCAAATCACGTGCATGCCTCGTGACAGCCTCAAGAGGGGACTCTCATAAGAGTCAACACATAACTGATGTTTAAGCGCTCCAGGAAGAGATGGATGCAGGCATGAGGTGAGTATTAGGTGGCCAGCCAATGACAGAGTTGACTAAAGTAGTCAATACATGTATAACTCCCTAAATAATCATAATTTGAAAAAAACAGGGTAGCCCAGGTGGAGATAAAATACATTATATTCTTTTAAATGACAGAGCCGCATGATAATGTAAGGTTACCTGACAATATCAAGGCAAACCTCTTAAATGTGACTGTAAAAACTGAACACGCAGCCATGCTGATAAATACTGGATGTATAAACTAAATAGTTTATGGTTGAAAGGGCCAAAAAATATTTAATTTAAATCTATTTTTTACATTTTCCTTGTAGCTAACATTATTGTTCATTTTTCCTTTTCAAGCCTTCCTTGATCATACTGACCTTGATGGCCAGCTTCCCTATGCTATTAAATCATAGATATGTTTTGATCATATTTACTACATAAATCTTAGATATATTATTACTTTAGTGTTGTCTCTGACAGTCAGCTTTTTTGTTTTTAATTATTAATTCTGCATACATTGGCTGTGATTTCATTACACATTCTTATTGTTTCGTTGTTCAGCATGTTGCTTTGATTTAAGTGCAGTATGCAATTTTCTATGTAGATCCCATGATTGTATATCAAATTGACACTTTTATCCAAAAAGTAACTATGTACAGGGTACATAATTTGCTGAAGTTTTTTTTTTTTTTTTGGTATATACATATTTAAAGCCCCTTAGATTGAAATTTTTCATAGTAAATTACTTTCTGCCTTAATAAAGTGATTTCATACCTATATCAGTATTGAGTTTGTTCCTTCAGGCTTTTATGACCTTGATGGTATAATGCAATTCAAGAATCATAAACTTTTCCATTACTTTAAGGCTCTTCCCATAGGAGTACCTTTGTCTTTTAATGTGATCTCTCTCTGTTTCTGTGAAGAAAGACTAATCCTTAGTTATGTGTGTGACGGAGCTCGCTGTACCCCTGGCTGGGTACCTCTGCCAAAGACTGCTTCTTAGCTGGAACAGGGGACAAACCGCAGCACTTCTATCCACAGTCGACAGCTTGACTGGGGCCCTGGAACCACTCCTTCCTGGAGCAGAATATGGAATTCGCTCTATCCACCCCCAGGCACTGGACAACACTCAGTCCTGGGAGCTCTAGTTCTTACAAAGACTTTCCTCATTGAATCCCCTGCAAGCTGTAACAGCAGAGACAAGGGTTAAATCTTCCTTCCCTCCAATAACAGGATGACACACAGTTTTGGAGTGCAAGATGGAATACTTTAATGGCAGCCACAACTGGCCTTATATGCATGTCCCCATGCAAGAGGCAATCCCCCCTGGACCTTGTGGGGGACTACAGCACAAAGTCACAGACCAACGACAAATGTGTTTAAATACATGACACTCCCATACAGGACCAGACTGGGAAAACAATTCACAGCAGCCCTCTGAAAAGGGGGCGGGGCCAGATAGGGTGTATTTTGTCATCCCCAATGACAAGCACGCCCCATCTCAAAGTGAGCATGTTGGTTCAATGCTCTTCCAGAACCTAAGCGGGTCCTACACTGACCCTGCACCTTGCTTCCTTGAGCTTCTGGGGGTCTGCTTTGACGTTGGTAGGCGGACATTCCCCCAATGGCCATTGGAGTAACTAAATTACCTCCATTTGTCTAAATATACATAGGGATTAAGGAGAGAGCACAGGTAACTTTTTTTTTTCCTTTGGTTTTTACTATATATTGGGGCTGATGTGTTCTGTGGTCGTTGCTGCTGCCCAGGAGTGATGGGAGTGAGCGCATGACTTATCTTTTTGTATCACACAGCTTTGTATCACACAGCTTTGTTACAATGCTGCCGCCCATCCCATGTGTTCCCTATTAAGGGTTAATAAGTATAAAGGGATGTATAAAAAAAAATCCCTTTCTGTCTCATTAGAGATATCTTTTCCAGAAGCTCAAGGAAGCAAGATGAAGGGTCAGTGTAGGACCCACTTAGGGGGTCTGCCTTGACATTGGCAGACGGGCATTCCCTTCAATGGCCATTTTAGTAACTAAATGACCTCCATTTGTCTAAATATACATAGTGATTAAGGAGAGAGCACAGGTAACTTTTTGGAGGGGGGGGTTTACTATAAATTAGGGCTGATGTGTACTGTGGTCGTTGCTGTCAGCCAGGAGTGATGGGAGTGAGAACAGGACTTATCTTTTTGTATAAATAACTAATATAAGTCATTGCTACTCAAGAGTCCAGTAGATTTGGACTACCATGAGTTGATATACATAGTATATATATTTTGAAGTACCTATGTGATTCCAACATTGTCAACATTGTAACAATGTAATAATTGTTTGATGTGATGCATGTACACCCTTCCTAACATAATTTTCTTTCTTTTTTGGAAAACAAAATCAATAAAATATGTTAATAAAGAATGAAAGCTTAGGGTCGTGGTTTGGGCTCTGACCAAGATGACTGCTTAACTTGCAAGCTCTGAGACCAACTGTCCCCTGTAACACACTAATAACATAGCCACAGAACTTAAAATGGGATGTACCCATCGCCTGGCGCCTTCCCAGACCCCGAGGGGTTCCCAGTCTGAATCTCATTCCGGACCCATGGACGGATTTCTTCACACGCCGTCCGGCGCATGTGGTGGCGGGGAGAGCCCCAAGATGGCACTGACCTCGCCAGCCTCCCCAGTGGGCTCTGAACTAACGGTGCTTGACAGGATTGAGGAAGAATTGAGGACCATGGCTGCTGCTATGGCCACTAAGGCCAACTTACAAATTCTCACCTCCACAATTCAGGAGGCGGTGCAGGTGGAGGTGGCAGGCCTGCGGACTGAAGTAACCACGCAGGAGGGCCGAATCCACACACTGAAGCACTTGGCTGAGGCCCAGTCGGCTCGTATTGCGGCCTCTAATTCTGCGGTGGCCCACCAAGGTGGGAAGCTGCTTGCCATGAGATGCCATCTGGAGGACTTGGACAACAGAGGCCGACGATGTAACATCAGGGTACGGGTGGTACCTGAAGTGGACGGGGAGAAAAAAGTGGAAGAGACGCTCTCCGGTCTGCTCAGGGTGCTTCTACTGAGAACTGTGCCATCATAGTTTAAATTCAAAGGGCCCATAGGGTCGCAAGACCGCGCACGGATGATAACTTACTTCGTGATCTCATATGTTGCATGCACTCCTTCCCGGTCAAGGATGCCATAATGAGGAAGGCTCATGATCAACCTACATGGGAGTACCGCGGAGCCCAGGTATCCTTGTATAATGACCTCTCTCCTCTTACGCTTAAAGCTGAGGCCCGCGACATAAACTTGCAGGACCGCAACATATGCTACAAGTGGAGCTTCCCTTTGCATTGCTGGTGCGACATCAACATGGCTGGGCCTCCGTAAGATGGCCTAAACAAGTTCCTCAGTTCCAGGAAGAGATGGGATTACCTCCCACTAATGTCATCAACTGGGTGCTGGGGCCCTTGGAGCAGAGGCCTCAGTCACAGAGAGCTCCCAGATGTAGAGGCAGTCGATCTCCGCTGGGCCCTCCTCACCGATGGCGCCCAGACACTGCTGCACATGGGGAATAAGTCTTCAGGGTGGACTCACCTGCCTGACCCTACCTACACCTTCATGATGCACATCTTCATCCTGAGGTACAATTTTCAACCCTTCTCTCTGCCTCTTTTTCTTTGTCTCTTATGGTGACTGGGAAGCTCACAAGAGCATAATTCAGGGCACGCCCATTCTCATAGCCTCTATTAAAAAGAAGAAGCAGGCTTGGCAGATGACAGAACTCTACGCCTGGAGTCTTAACACAAAAGGACACAAATGACGGTCATTTACAGGGAATTATTGCAAGCCAGAGATCAACTGACGGAACTCCTCAGAGATCATTTTCGATCGGTTCAACATTCTAAGGGCTTCTTTTATGCTCACACGAACAAAGGGGGGCAAGTTCTTTACGGTTTATTGAAAGGGACACTTCCGCGTACACAGGTTCATAGGCTGCGGCTGTCTACGGGGCAGACATCACCTTTCCCCAATGATATAGCTGAGGAATTCCGGTCCTTCTATCATTCCTTGTATAGCTTGTACAAGCTGAATGAAGTGGACGTGAATAGACCCACACTGATTGACAACTACCTGCGGACATGTTATGAAAACCGTATCTCCTACAGCGGCGGAGGCAATGGATGGTCCGATCAATGAAGAAGAATTAACAGCTGCCCTGAAGGGGACCAAAGTAGGCAAAGGGCCGGGCCCGGATGGGTTTTTGGCCAGATATTTTAAGAAATTCTCGGCTGCACTTATATCGCGGCTGACAAAGGCCATGGATGCTGTAGCAGATGGGGGGGAATTTGGAGCGGAATCCTTGGCGACTAATAGTGCGGTCCTGCTTAAGCCAGGAAAGGATCGTGCTACACAGTGGGACAAGGTGCTGTTGTGGCAACACAAGAGCTCTCTAAGCTCACAGTACCAGGAAACTAATTATAAACTAATATCGCTTTGGTATAGGACCCTTCTCCACAGGATCTTTCTTACTGTGCAGCCCACCTGCTGGAATTGCCAGTCCGGTGGAGGCACGATGTGTCAGCAACTAGAGGCTCTTCCGGGATTTTACCGGACTTTGTGTCTCGTAAATGATGCTGGATTTTCACACTCTCTGCATGATGACATCCAGCGTCAGTTAAATCCCCATGGAAAAGCACTGAGTCAGTGCTTTCCTACAGGGAGGGCCTAATGCGCTTGTAGCACTCGTCACACATGTGCATTAGGCCCCCCTACCGGATGAGATCAGGAGGGGTGGAGCGCTGAATCGGATGAGTAAATAAAGGTTTTCAGTTTTTTACCCTTTACGTTCCACAATGGGTGGTGAGGAAGAGAGGGATCAAAGGACACTATATTGTTAGGAATACAAATTTGTTTTCCTAACACTTGAGAATCCCTTTAAAAGAGGTTGAGGAAATAAACATGTATTTCTGGCAAAATAAAAAGGTAAAAGCAAAGTGCAGCTTTAACCCCAGCCAAAAAAAAGTTCAGACTGTCATAATAATACACAATTCCAATAGATATATGCTCTTGAAAGGGTTAAAAGACAGAAAGCACATCACATACATAGTTATCCAATTTCCTAAAATGATCTCTGTAATCTCCAAAGTGAATGTTTGGAATGGACTGATCAGGCTTAGAATTATATCAACAATCTATTCAATACATAAAATGGAGAGGAGAAAAAGACAACAGCATGATATTCTCAAACAAAAGGGAAAAAGGCTATTATACATTCAATTTAAAAAGAATCTATTATGAACGGTTTATCTCAGTGGTTTGTGTTTGAAAATATATATTTAGCATCACACAACCTTGTGTCATACACAAGCTGAATGAAAGACAGTGCTGATGTCTGCCTTTTTCAGTTTGTTTCACCAGCAGAAAAGCACACATGTAAAAAAAAATAATAATAAAGGGTAAAACAAGATGGTACATGTTTTGCTTCTTTTTTTATTTTGCATTTAGCTCTAGTAATATTTTGATAATCAAAAAGCAAGATGTTAATTTAATAGCTGTATAATATATTCACAAATCCAAACAAATTTGACCTCACATTAAAAATACTCATTAAAGTGTTGTTTTAACATGCTATTTTTGCAAGTGATATTTTATGCATTTATTTTAACTTAAAGCAAAACTGGAAACAGCATGTTTATAATATAATGCTGAATGATAAAACATACCAATCTATTGATCAGCTTGCACTTACTGGACACAGTTCTTTGTGACCTCAAATGCTGGTCACCTAAGAACAATTCCGACACAGCATGACAGGATCCCCAAAAACAGGACGATCTAACCAAACCCGGACTGTTAGGTGCTTTCACAGTTTGGAGTGATGAGCCCTTGCAGAAATTCTTTCACATCCTAATGTTTAGTCTTTATAGTTAACTCGCTACTCATGGATGTCTGTGCCTTGTGTGATTAATCGAGGTATCCATCCTTTGACATCCAGGATATCAGACAATCAAAAAGAAAAACAAATTCCTGGAGTTAAACCAGTTTGACACTACAGGAGTGTCAACGGGCTTAAATCTATATTGCAAATTCAAATATATAAAATGCACTTAATCAACTCAATGTGGGTAATTGCAACCTGGAATAGAGTAAGTATCCTATAGGGTGTTGTATATGCTCAATGTATATAAAGAAATAAAGTATAATACAGGATAACCATTCATGGTATAGAAAAAAGTTATAGGAAATCTAGCCTTATAAGGCTACTCCAGTACCTCATTAGTAGTTATAATATAATGATAGGGGCTATACACCAACATATGTACCATGCTTAAAATTTGAAGGGCTTTATTGTGCAGTTCTATTAATAGCATAGATGTACAAAGTATAAAAGGTTACAGTTGAGTAAAGATAGTGCCAGAGTAAAGAGGGTTTAACTATCCCTGTGAACATTGAGATGGTCCCTGTAGAAATGATCAGTATAAACTAGGGATGTGCATGGGCAAAAAAATTTGGTTCGGTTAGGCACTGCTGAAATTCGGGATATCGGCAATTCGGTAGGGTTAGGGCTAGGGGTAGGGTTAGATTCCTGTAATCACTCCCTTCATTTTCCCTCCCTCTCCTGTTTTGCCACTTTTCAGAAATCTGAAGCACTTCAGCACTTCAGCACTTCTGAAATTCGGCACTTCTGCAATTTGGTTTGGCACTTCCGTAATTCGGCACTTCGGCAATTCAGGACTTTGACAATTCGGCACTTCGGCAATTCGTTTGGTTCGGCACTTCGGAAATTCGGCAATTCAGACATTCAGAAGCATCAAAATGTCCGAATTGCAAAAATTCATCCGAATTAAAATTCTGTCCGAAACGAATTGCATATGTCTAGTATAAACCCAGTCGATTCCTGAAACAGTACATAAAATCCCCTATGTGGTAAGTGAAAGGAAATAGTTAAGTAACCAAATGTTACTGGTATATGGGCAGATAGTTAATGGTAAGCAAATAGTCAGCTCTTAGAAAATAGAATAACAGAAACCCCTCTCCCTTGTAATCTAACTTGACAGGTAAAGGAGTCAGAAAGAATAGTGAAAATGTAAAACATCATGTCTATGTATAGGTGACAAGTATTTAAGTGATAAGTTCCCAAAACATCTGAAAAACCTGACGCGCATTGCGATGCAATCTCGTGTGCACCTTTGTCATGGGCAAAAGTAACAGTGAATGTGGTTCTCCTTATAATGGTGTAGCTCATGTAGGAAAAAAAATGTCTAGCCAATTGTTAACAGGTACGTATTTAGGGGGGTGTAAGCTTTATTCCAATGATGTCATTATTCATATGTGCCTCATTCCCTCTAAGTCCTATCGATCAACATTACCAGTGCGGGAGGTCGCTGTAATGAATCTCTATCGGTAAAGTTACATACTTCCTAATTAGTATAACAGCGACCTCCCAGGTTAAATGTATGATTGATATAGGTATATACCCGTGCAAAGTTAGTATCAGTATGTTCTACATATATTAGAAAATACAAAAAGTAAGAAAACCCAAAATGGCATTTATAATAGCCAAAGTTCACTGTTTACCACAGATTATTATTGTAACTTGCTCATAGATGTATTTTGTATGGAATAACTATTGTTATATCTAAATATATTAGCCATATATATATATTTTTTTTTTTTATGCTATCTGATATCATAAATATGTAAGGTATACGTAGTAATGAACTATCTCACCATTTACAGATTTTACTATCTTTATATGTGTTCAGAGGTTTGATGTGTATGTATCAAAGTTTGCCTACATGATGACATACAATTTTAAATCTTAAAGGACCACTCTAGGCACCCAGACCACTTCAGCTTAATGAAGTGGTCTGGGTGCCAGGTCCCTCTAGGATTAACCCTTTTTTTTATAAACATAGCAGTTTCAGAGAAACTGCTATGTTTATAAATGGGTTAATCCAGCCTCTAAAGCCTCTAGTGGCTGTCTCATTGACAGCCGCTAGAGGCGTTTGCGTGCTTCTCACTGTGAAAATCACAGTGAGAAGACGCAAGCGTCCATAGGAAAGCATTATGAATGCTTTCCTATGAGACCGGCTGAATGCGCGCGCAGCTCCTGCCGCGCATGCGCATTCAGCCAAAGAGGAGGATCAGAGGCGGAGAGGAGGAGGAGAGCTCCCCGCCCGGCGCTGGAGAAAGAGGTAAGTTTAACCCCTTTCCTCTCCCCAGAGCCCGGCGGGAGGGGGACCCTGAGGGTGGGGGAACCCTCAGGACACTATAGTGCCTGGAAAACGAGTATGTTTTCCTGGCACTATAGTGGTCCTTTAAAGATATATTGCATATTATAGTTAGAATAATTCCTGACTGCTACCTTAATTACAAAGTTATCCATTCTTTTGGAGTATAAAATTATACCAGTTTATGTCATATTTGTTTCATAATATACATATTTTTACACTCATTCCTTGTGATTGTCATTTTTACTCTCTGCACATTGGGTCCCTTTACTTGCTGTCTTAGGGCAGCAACCCTTCCTACCCTGACACAGAGCATATGGGGCAGTACGTTTTTGTTTGCCTAGTGTGGCAAAAATCATTGCACTAGCAATGACCCTTTAGCAAAGCCCAGTCCCTTCGGCAAGAAATATATCTTAACCGTGGTGGACTATGCCACTAGATATCCAGAGTGTGGCATTGACCAATATCCACGCCGAGACGGTCGCGGATGCTCTGATGCGGATTTTCTCTTGCATGGGTTTTCCACAAGAGATTATTTCAGATCAGGGAATCCAATTTACCGCGGAGGTCACCCACCAGCTCTGGACACTATGCGGCATTAAGCCCATAGTGAACTCCCCATACCACCCACAGTCCAATGGCCTATGCGAACAGTTTAACAAAACATTGAAAGAGATGCTTAGCACATTTGTGGCCACTAGCAGGGACTGGGAGAGATTCTTGCTGCAGCTCCTATTTGCCTACCGGGAGGTGCCCCAGGAATCCACTGATTTCTCCCCATTTCAGCTGCTGTTCGGGAGGCGGGTGATGGGGCCCCTAGATCTAATTAGGGAACATTGGGAAGGAGATATTAGCACAGATGGTACTCCCATCGCCCCTTAATGCGTTGGTGTTTAAACAGGAACTCACTATCATTTTGTACTGTCAAACTATGCATCTCCCATTAATTACAACTGCGCTCAA